GAACGCGCCGCGGGGTCCGGATGCAGGCCCCGCCCCCGACCGGCGCCACGCCGCGCTCAGGGCCGCTTGTAACGCAGCAGCCCAAGAGGGAGCTCTTCAGGGACCAGACCACCTCGACGAGCTTGCCGCCTGCTACGTCCCCAGGGGGTTCAGGTACCCTGTGGGGTGTGGGCCACCAAGGATTGGCGCCTGCCATCCAACCTCGCCCTGTCTGCATCCGCTCCCCAGCCGAGACACCCATCACTCAGCTGAAAACCTGTATAGAGACCCCTGGGCAGCCGCCCTGTGGGGATGGGGACGGTGTCTTGGTTCCCCACGTGATAGCTGGAAGGGCTGTCTGGGACCAAAGGCTCAGGAGGCTGGCTATTCGGTGTCCTCACCCACACCGTCACACCCTGGGCAGCCTTTCAACAGGTAGAGAGGGGCTACCTGGGTGTCCTGGGGAGGGAGGCTGCCTGCAGGTGGGTGCCCAGGGCAGGCCGCCTCAAACTCAGCTTCCTGTTCGTCTCAATCAGGGTAGGGGCTCCCTGGGGCCCAGGGTGGGTGGTATTTGCCACCACCCACCCCATCTTGAGGTCTCTCCCCGTCTGCCTCCAGGAGACAGCACGGTGAGCGGAGATGGTTTTATGGAGCCCTGGGCAGGGCCTGACACACTCTGAGGCCCCCACGTGGGGGCTCTGCCTTTCTCACGGGCAACCTGGTAGGTGCCACGGCCAGGCCTCACTCATTCCTCTGTCTAGAGCCGGAGCTGACCGGAGGAAGTGTGTCCATCCCCCAGGCCCCTCTGGGGCAAACTGCCTGCGTCTTACCCATTGGCCAGGAGCCCGGGGAGGAGTGCTGCAGGCAGATGCGTTCGAGATAATTACATGGGCTGTTGTGGTGGAGACAGATGAGCCCCGTGACACTTCTGAGGGCTCCAAGGAACGAAAACCTGGCCTGGCACTGCCGTCTTGGAGAAGGGGACAGGGCCGAGGCTGGGCTTCCAGCCAGCTGGTGCACACCAGTTAGTGGCCCTGGCCGCCCTTCCACTGGGAAGCAGCCCCCCAGGGCCCGAATCCCACGCCATCCTCACATGTCTGTGGATGCAAGGCCCTCCCCTGTGGACAGAACCGAATGTCCCGGTTTCCTGGCCTTGATGTTCCGCTTCACACCTCCTGCAGAGAATAGCAGCCGGGCTGTGGCGGAGTGTGACAGCACAGGGCCTGGGGCTGGTGACCGGCTGGCAGGCGGGCCTCAGAGGCGGGTGACTGGGCGGGTGGCACAGCCTGGCCTCCTGGTTCCCCTGCAGCCTCCTCATTACCCTCATCTGTGCCCACACCACCTGCCACTCTTAACCCCAGACTGCAGCCCAACACGGGGGTCCAGTTTATGTCCCTGCTGCCTGTCTGTCCGCTCAACATCTGACCCGGGGCTCTGACCTGAGTTGGCGTTCCCCCTTCCCACCACCCCAGCTGTCTTCAGGCTGCTGAGCCAAGCAGTGACGGATGGATGGTGCTTGTCACCAGGCACCCTCAAATCATAGGCCGCCCACCCAGTGGAACCCTGGCACGCCTGTCTACCAGTCTCTGCACCCATCTCTCCAGCCGGCTCCCGAGCTCATTGCCCAAAGTCATCACCCTGCAACAGGGTGGGCCCTAAATCCAGTCACAAGTGATTTCCTAAGAGAAGTGGGAGAAAACTCAGTGAAAAGGCAGGCCACGGGAAGACATGCGGGAGGTAGAGGCGCTGCCCCCAACACCTGCAGCCACCAGGCGCTGGGAGGGGCCTCCACCCACAAAGCCGCCTTCTGGTCTCTGGACTCTGAGGATAGATTTCCACTGCTGTAAGTCACCACCGTGTGGCGCCTTGTCACTTGGCAGCTGGGTTTCCCCGTGGACCAGAGTCCTTTCTCTCAGTAGAGGACCAAGGCGCCTATGTCCTCAAAGCAGGAGAGTCCTCACCCTTGGGCCCAGTCCCCAGCCTGTGCCCCCTGCACCCTGGGCAGACTCCCTCCACCTCACTGCACCTGCCCGACCCCCCTCAGTCTCTTGGCCCCTCCTGCACGTCGCTGCCACGAGCCAGAGGCCCTGGACCCCACAGCTGACGGCTAAACTGCTCGTGCAGACCGCTTCCTCTCTACTCAGGTGTGGGCAGGTACGGTGGCCCTTAGGTGCAGGCTGGGCTGGGGGTTGAGGAGGGAGGCTGCGCTTGGAGGGGCGGGGCCGCCAGGTGCTGACTGTCGGGCCTGAGCCTGGGGGCGGGGTTGCAAACGTGGGAGGGCAGAGCGCAAGTGGCCCAGGGCGGCCAGGTGCAGACCACGTGGCCTGCGAGTGGAGGGGGAGGGGCGCACGTGAGAGGGCACGTGCACGTGGGGGCGGGGCACGTGGGGGGTTCCGTCCCCTCGCCCCGCCCCACGTCGCATTGCGCCCTCCGCCATGGCGTCCAGGGCCCCGGAGCCCCGCGCGGCCTCTGGTGGATGCAGGTGAGAAGCTGGGTGCCAGGGAGGGGGCGGGAGGTGTCGTGACCAGGGCCATGCCTGCGTCAGGACTCTAGTCGCCAGCCCCCAAGCCGCTCCGGGGGCAGTGAGGGTGCAGAGGCGCGACCCGTGCGCCTTCCGGAAGCAGCTCTCTGCGGACCCTAGCGCCCCTCTGGTGGCAGTCTCCCCGAGTGCTCCTGGCTCTTTTCTTGGCAGGAGCACGCGCTCTCCTGATTACCAGGCCAGCTCTGAGGACCCAGGCCCGGGCCGCTTCCAGGCTCCCCCCGCCCCCAAGGCGCAGGCACCTTGCCGCCGGCGCAATGTGCTCACTGAGCGGGAACGAAGGTGAGGGGCTTGGGGTGCAGGGAGGCAGCTCCCCAGGGTCTGAGCTGCCCTTAAAGGGAGTTAGGTCTGGGGCTGTGAGCAGGCGGCAAGCAGACAGGGTGTGGGGTGTCCAGATGAGGGACGCCCATGGGGCCCAGGCCCTGGGGTCCCTCTGGGGCCTGAGAGTGGGTGTTGGAGGCTGTGTGTCTGGCACCCTGGGCTCCTGGCATCCTTGACTGTGGGACCCTGCCCCGCCTACCCCACTTCTGCGGTGTGGAGGTCCCTGCCTTTCTTGTGCTCTGTGGTGGGTCCCTGGTGGTCTCCTTGGGCCCAGGGGGGGCCGGGCCCATGGATGGCTGTTCCTGTGGCCCAGGAGGCGGATCGCAGGGAGCTGTGAGCAGCTGCGCGCCCTGCTGCCCTGGTTCGAATGCCGACGGGAGGACATGGCCTCTGTCCTGGAGATGACGGTGCAGTTTCTGAGGCTTGTCCACAGGCTGGTGCCCGCCCAGGGGCAGCACGCGGTGAGTTCCCACCAGCGAGCCTGCCGGCCGACCCCAGCTCCTGGCTCCTGGGCCCCCTGCCCCACCCCACCCTGAGCTGGCATGTCTTTGGCACGGTCCACCTGTTTGTGCTTCGCGTGAGGGGTGCCGAGCCCTGGGAGGGGCCCAGGGGGCTCCAGTGTTCACTTTGCCCCCACAGTGCTAGGGATGTCTTAGGGCGAGCTGTCTGCTGACGGACTGTCGCCCCATAGTCAGTGTTGCCATCTGCCGACTCACCGTCTGCTTGCGACCCCCAGGGGATGGCATGTCGTCCCAGGGGGAGGCTCTGCCTTGTCCCTAACCCTTGCAGCACCAGCTGGGGCCCTGCTTGGGGACCCAAGCCATGTGAACAGTGCAGGATAGGGGTCTGTGCAGTTGCCAAGGGGCCCTGCAAGTGTGGCCTGATTGGAGGGAGGTGGCCCGTTTGCAGAGTGAGGCTGCAGTCCCTGGGTCATTTCTGAGGCCACCAGCGAGGTGACACCCTGACCGCAGCCCTTTTCCCTGCAGCCAGCCCAGTCCCCACCTACTGTCTCTTGTCCGTTTGCTTCCAGGCGCCTGACCCGTCCCCGGAGGTGTGTTCTCACAGGTGGCAGTGGAAGGCTGTGCGGGTGGTACTGGGGGGCCAGGTGCCTGCAGGCACACCGGACCCAGGGTCAGGTGCTCTGGGCCTGGCCAGGTGAGTGTCCCCAGGAGGCTGACCCTGAAGGGGCTGTGGGGCTCTGGGACTATGGACACAGACCTCTGAGGACGTCCAGGGTAGGAGACGCTTCAGGCTTGGTCTTTGTACCAGATGATCTTCTGGGGTTCCTTTGAGCCCTGACTTGTTACATGACAGGGGTAATAGGTCCTCTGAGTCACAGGGTTTGGGACCAGGGGGTCATGGGGACAGGACAGGAGTGAGTATGCTTCCACAACACTGGCTTGGCCAGAGTGTGGGGGCCGGTGTGGGGAGCCGTGGGGTCCAGGTGGTGGGAGCCAGGGTACAGGGGCTGGTGTGGGGAGCCCTGGGGTCCGGGTGGTGGAAGCCAGGGTATGGGGGCAGGTGTGGGGAGCCCTGGGGTCTGGGTGGTGGAAGCCAGGGTACAGGGGCTGGTGTGGGGAGCCACGGGGTCTAGGTGATGGAAGCCAGGGTACAGGGGCTGGTGTGGGGAGCCATGGGGTCCGGGTGGTGGAAGCCAGGGTACAGGGGCTGGTGTGGGGAGACATGGGGTCTAGGTGGTGGAGGCCAGAGTGTGGGGGCTGGTGTGGGGAGCCGTGGGGTCTTGGTAGCTTGGCCAGGGTACGGGGGCTGGTGTGGGGAGCCTGGGGTCCGGGTGGTGGAGGTGGCTGGCACTCTCCTTTCATTCATGTGTTCTCTGACCCGTGGGCCTGTAGGGGCTTTGGGCTCTCCCTAAAGACAGGCTCCGTAGTGGGGGGGTAGAAGCGGTCACATCCCCTCCCTGGAGGCGGACACTCCAGCTTCTGAGGGGAGCTTCCTGAAGCTCAGGACTCTTGGTGAGTTTCGGAACGCCGGGTGGAGCCTTGAGTACAGCGTCCGGCCACATGGTCTACCTCGTGTGTGTGCGCAGGATCTGGAACCAGAAGGGGGCTTGGGGAGCAGAGAAGCTGGGAAGCTGCTGAGCTGGGCACGGTCCCTGACGGTGGGAGAGCCACCGTGATCCCGGATGCCACGAGTGCACTCTGCATCACAAGTGTCGGGGCCCCAGGCTCCCCTCCTGGGGTTGGGGGACAGGGTCCTGGTTCCTGCACTGGGTGTCTCGGGGCTGGTCTCTGAATCCCAGATGGAGGCACTTTCAGAAAGTTCTAGATGCAGCCGGGCCTCGCTGGCTGGCCACTTGGGGTGGGCGGGGGTGGCACACAGGGCTGACAGAGCCACCCACCCCTCTGTCCTTTCCTCCTCAGGCCGCAGGAGCCCCCACGGGGGGCCCCCACCTTGGGGTTGGCTCAGGTACTGGGTGGGCCACCAGCCAGCCCTGGTCAGCAGGCGCCCTGTGAACAAGGCCAGGACTTTGCGTCTTTGGCCAGAGGTAAGCCAGGCGGGCTGCACTGAAGCCCTGGACAGGGCGCGGAGGGTTCACACTGGGCCCTGCAGCAGAAGAGCCCGTTTGGGGCCTGCGCCTCACGGATCCTGTGTGTCCTAGGCTGTTGTCATAAAGTGGAACATGTGCCCCCAGGAGGGCAGACTTGTTGGGGGTGCTTCCTCAGATGTGATGGCAGGGGGGCGGCAGCAGCTAGACAGCCCCCCCAGGTCCACCCTGTATCTCAGGGAAGGTCTCCTAGCCCACCCGTGTGAGGGTCCCGGGGCGGCCATGCCAAAGTGCCACACCGGGGGCTGGAGACAGCGACCGGTCTCCTGCAGTTCAGGAGGCCCTAAGTCCACAGTCGGGGTGTAGGAGCCACGCTGCCTCCGGAGGCTCCGGGGCCTTCCTGACGGGGCGTCTGTGGCCCGGGTGGTCCGTGGCCTGCAGTTACCGTGCGTCAGTGGTGGCTCTGTGCGTCACCGTGTCACCTTGACAGGTCCTGCGTCAGTTCCTCGGGTATCTTTTAGGGGAGCATCTTGGCCGTCACACCGTCTCTGTTCCCCCATGTTCTCTCGTCTACCCTGGGCCTCCTCAGAGCCCTGGTCACCTGCCAGGAGGTGCGGGGACATGGGACGTGGCTGTGCTCAGTCACACCAGCCACAGTGGATGTGCTGCTGCTGTTGTGGCCACCAACCGCGCTTGGGGCTTTGCAGCCCCCCGAGGCCTGACCGCCAGCGTCCCTGCAGGGGCTGCCATGGGGAGTGAGTCACAGCCCGGTCAGCCGTTCAGGGCTTTGTTCCCTGAGGCTGGCCCCTCCCAGCTCTGCGTCTGTCCTTAGCGGGCAGCTTTGTGTCCACTCTGCAGGGCTCCTCTCAGTACCCAGCCTCCTCTCTGGCTTTCTGTCACTCTGCCCCTAACCCTCATCCTGAGGCCACTAGAGCCCCAGGAGGTGGGATAGGGCGTACCTTGCAGGGCAGGTCTCGCTGTCCCCAGGGGCACCAGGACCTGTGTGGCAGACGGGGAACAGTGACACCAGGACCCACATGGGGGGACACCAGGGGACACTAGGACCTGTGTAGCCCAGGGGTTGGCACCAGGGGACTCCAGGGCAGGGAGGTACACAGGTGCAGAGGTCATGCCAGTGGGCAGGAGCTGGCCTGAGGGCAGAGTCTTCAGTCAGAGCTGGACTCCAGGGCAGGCCGAGCCAACACCTCCTCTGGGAAGGCCCCCTGGCACCAGGTGCTGGGTGCCCACTGTGGGCAGGTCCCTCCTGATGCTGTCTTTCTCCCACCTCTCTCTGCCTGGCTCCAGGCATCACTGGTGCCTGTGCCGGGGTGCAGGGGGGTGGGGGAGGGTCTCTGGTCTCAGGAGTGGATGCCCTCGGGCGCTGGGGATGGGGGGGGAGCGCTGACTAATCAGACTTCTCACACAGAACCCCGAGAGCCGAGCATGCCCAGGGTCCCCGAAGGCCGGGCCCCAGCACCACTGTGTCCCCCCTGGGCCCCTCTCTCCCAGCAGCAGCCTTCTTCCCCACTCAGAAGTCCAGCAGCTCAGAGCTGGCCCAGCCCCGACAGGGGACCTGACACGGCCATGACACCCACGCTGGATGCCAGGTACGTGCCTCACACACACGCCCCACACATGCGCACCCTACACATGCGCACCCTACACATGCGCACCCTACACATGCGCACCCTACACATGCGCACCCTACACATGCGCCTCATACGTGTATACCCCACATATACCCCCATCCCACCATGTGGTCCACATGAGCCCCACGTGTCCCATGTGTGTGCCTCACATGTGCTCCCCTCATGTCCCACACGTGTGCTCCCCCACATGCTCCATGCATGCCCCACATGTGTGCCCCATGTGTGTGCACCACGAGCACAGGATCTCAGCTCCGAGCTCGGCTGTGGGAAGGTGTCCTGGTCTGTGGGCGCCCAGGCGGGGTCCTCACTGAGGTGTGTTTCTAACACTGTCTTCCCAGAAACCTCTGAGCCTGCAGCTGCCTGTTCAGGACGCTGGCTTCCAGGGCCAGGGGCTGGGCTCGGCTGTGCGCGCTCAGGGTGGGGTCTTCCTCCCTGCTCAGGTCTGTGCCCGGATGTGAAGTGGACGGTACAGCCCACCTGCAGGCTGCTAGCCCCGACTGGTGGCTGGGTGAGTCAGACGGGGACAGGTGTGGGCCTCAGTGCACCCAACGTGGGATGGTGGGCAGCCAGGGAGCAGGGGTAGACTGTGACCCAGACCCAGGAAGGAGAGGAACAGTGTGTGAGAGTGAGTGTGAGTGTGAGTGTGTGAGAGTGTGAGTGTGTGAGAGTGAGTGAGTGTGTGAGAGTGTGTGAGTGTGAGTGTGTTGAGTGAGTGTGTGTGTGTGAGTGTGTGAGAGTGTGAGTGTGTGAGTGAGCGTGAGTGTGTGAGTGGGTGAGTGTGAGGGTGAGTGTGTGTGAGAGTGAGAGAGTGTGAGTGTGAGTGTGTGAGGGTGAGTGGAACCTGGTTGTGTCTGGTTTACCGTCAGCTGTATGGGGCGCTGTCCCCTACCTCTAGGTCTTCTGTCCCCGACGGTGCCCCCCAGGCTGGCCTGCACAGGCCTCTGCTTAGGGGCCAGTGTCCGGTCCTGGTCCGGGAGCAGGGTCGTGTTAGTGTGGCCGTCTCCGCCATCACACTTGAGCTGAGGGCTTTCAGGACAGGACAGTCCCCAGCGGCAGGCCCCGCACTCTGACCCTGCTCAGGCCCCGCTGACTGTCGCCTTTGCTCCCAGGGTCCCCGGGGGGCCGAGGAGGCGGCACCCCCATCCCGCTGGACAGGGCCGAGCTGGGCTCCCTGGCGGACAGCGGCCCCGGCTTCCAGGAGCTCCAGGAAAGCCTCCTGCAGCAGTGGGGCCCGGACCTGGGCTGCGCGGGCCTGGCGCTGCGCGAGGAGGCCGACAACCTCTTCCCCGACCTCTTTGCCTGCCGCCTGTGAGGGCACGGGGCGCAGGGCGGGCGTGGGGTGCGGGGCTCCAGGGGGGGTTGGGAGTGGACGCAGCTGGGCCCTGTTAGGGCTGCTGATGTTGAGGAGGCGAGGCTCTTGTGTAATTAGGACCGTTTTCCGGCACAGCTCCTCACCGCCTGCAGAGCCCAGCAGCACCTAGCCCGGGACTAACTTCTGTGACTTTGTCGCCTGGTGGGGTCCCTGAGTAACCCCAGGCCGAATGCTGAGGGGTCCCCACCCCCAAGGCAGCATGGCGGGATTAAAGGCCTGGAGGTGTGGACGCCTCCCTGCAAGGACTCTGTCCTCCTTCTCTGCCTCCGCCAAGCTGCAGGTTCCGGGTGACTGTGGAGCTCATGGCCCAGAGGGGTGTCTGCTTCCCCAGCCACCTGCCCCGAGGAAAGGAAGCCCCTTCCAGGTCCACCCTCACTCGGGTGCGTGGGGGCCGGGGTAGAGGCCGCCCTAGGTCTCACGCCCTCCGCCGCTCCAGCCCTGAGAGCTGGTTATCTTCGAGGGCGGGACTCCTTGATTTGGCTCTGTTCTGGTCCTGCCCCAGGTTCCAGAGTCCAACGGGTCTCAGTCATGGAGGAGGCCAGTGCTGGCCGCTGCCCCAGACTGATCAGGGCCTCACTGGGCTTTGTCCTCTGCTCACCCCCTCTGAGACAGACCCCCCCAAGCCTTCTGAGTGAGTCCCAATACCTGCAAGCCCCATTCACGCATTCTCACCTGAGTCATTCAGGACTGGGTGAGGAAGGGGCGGTGCTGGGGGGCAAGGGTCCCCTGCTGCTTGAGATGGAGCTGCTCCAGAGAGGGGCTGTCGGCCTAGACTACCCTCCCGGTTTCTGAAGGCTGTGGGGCAGAGGGGGAGACCTGTCTTGGGGGGGGCTCAAGTCCAGCCAGTGTGGGGTCTGTGCTCCAGGGAACGTGTGTGCAAGCCTCCGTGGTGCGGCCTCACCTGCCCAGAGATGCTCCCAACTCGGGTCACGGGGAGCAGCACCCCACTTTGTCCACACGGTGACCCCAACGGCCTCCCATCCCAGTGGCCTAACATGAGCAGGCTCATACTGTCGCTCGTGGGGGGATGCTGCAGGCCCTCGGTGTCCTGGCTCAGGGCCACTGGCTGCTGCCCCCCTTGTTGGCTGGATGGTCATTCAGCAGCCTCAGCCCGCTGGGAAGTGGTGGGGTAGACAGCATGGAGTGGCCCCGGATGGCTGCAGGGGCTGAGCAGTGACCTGAGCAGGCCCCCGGCACTGTTGGCGCTATGCAGCGGGCGGCTGGACACGGCCTCGCCTCCACGGGCCACCTCTAAGTGCACCCCTTCACCTGGGTCACTGCACCAAAGCCCCCAGCCCAGGTGACCTGGACGTGCCGGGCTCGCCCCCAGCCCCCAGCGGGTGGTCAGCGACCCCACCACAAAGTCCACCTTCACCCTGACTTTGGCTTGCAGGGTCGTGTTGCCAGGCTTCCTGCCTGGAGGTGGGAAGACAGCACCTCACCCCAGGTGGCTGGCAGCCTCCGCCCCTGTGCTGCCTCATGTTTGGAGGCACAGCCTGGAGCAGTGCTGGGAATGACCCTGAGGCCCAGGCCAGCTTGGGTGTGGACAGCAACTGACTATCAAGTCCGGGTCAAGGATGGGGGGAGCCTTCAACTTGAACCCCGTGGTTGGGCTCCTGCCCCTGCTCTCAGGCTGCATGGCCCCTTCCTGCCTGTCGGGCCTCTCTCGTCCCAGGTGGCCATCCACTACGGCCCGTTGCCTGGGTCTGTCTCTGCCCCTCTATGGCCTCAGTTCGGCTGGGGGAGGTGAAGCCACCAGGTGACTGCAGGAGCAAGGCACCTTGGGAGCTGATTGTCAGAGGCACCTGAGTGAAAGGAGCTGTGGGGTTGGGGGAACAGGCATCAGTTCCTACCACCCCCTGCTCCCTACGGGCTGCTTTGAGTCAAATTACAGCTCTCCTTGGCCCATGATTGTGAGGAGGCCCCGGGCTCGGCAGTGGCATTTTGAAAACGCTGAACAAGCTCTGGCGTTGATGATGGGCTTATTTTTAGGAGTGGGGGTGGGGTGTGCTTCTGTACCGTCCCCCCCACCCCAGCTCTCCAGGCGACCTGCTTCCCCTTGCCCCACCCCCAGTCTTCCGTTTGCCTGGGAAGTAGGGCACAGCCCAGCTGTGGCAAGGGGACAAGGACCAGCAGCAGAATCCGCCCACGGCCTCAGCACACGCTGGGGGGGTCCGAGCCATTGGTCCCCCTGCCAGCTGGGGACACTTCAGCAGGACTGTCTGGGGCCAGGCCTGATGGTCAGGGGGCCAGGCTGAGCACTGTAGGCTCTGCCCACCTCCCCTCCTCGGCCCTCGAGACCACCTCTGACCAGCCTGCCCTCCCTGCCCCCACGCTGTTGCTCTGAGACCACATGGCCGTCATGGGGGACCACACGGTGGTGTCAGGGTTGAAGGGCTGGGCACTGCTCAGCTCGGCGACTTGGGCCCACGCTCTGGCCACGTAGATCTTGCTGGGGGTTTCCGTGCTCTGCTGCATAGGGTACAGTGGTGAGGGTACGGGTCCTGAGCCCTGGGGCGCCCCACATCCCACCCCGGGGGCCCTGTGAGCAAGGGGAGGAACTGGCCCGCCCTCCTCCGTCTCTCTGAGACCCTCACCCAACAGCTCCTCACTGTTCTCCCTGAGAAGTTGGTCCCCCCTTCCCCCCCCCCCCCCACAAAGACCCCCAACCTTGCCCTCCTGGCCTGGGCCCCACCTGCCCCTGGAAGCTGGATGGCAGGCAAGCCAGAAGGAACCAGAAACCGGCTGCAGCCACCAGGCTTCGCGGCTCCCAGCTGCCGGCCTCTGCCCCGGTGCTCGAGTGCCGAGGCGCGACCCCCGGCTGCTGTTGGCATAAGCCTCCGAGCAGGCAGCCCCTCCCTGCTGGCCTTTCCGCGTGGCCCCGAGTTCCCGCCCCGCTCCCCAGGACCAGAGAGGCTCTGTGGCCTTTGCCCAGGAGACAAGGCCATGGATCCAACCCTTGGGCGCTGCTGTGGCTCAGCCCGACCTGCGGGGCTCGGAGGGACCCGGCAGCCCCAGGCTGTTGCGAAACCTTCTGGACAGGTGGCCTTTCCTGAGGGGCCCACGGAGCCCTCATTCTGTGGCAGGACAGTGGTGGGGGTGGAGGGGAGGAGGGTGTTGGGTCCTCACGAAGCTGGGGTGGGTGGGCTGGCGCTTTCTGGTCACCAGGTGCCGGAGCGGCCTCCTGGGGGCAGTGGGGGCGGGGCCCTGCAGATGCCCCTGTCGCTCAGCACCCCATCCCCGGGCTCCCTGGGGGCCCGTTGGGGAATGGCGCAGTCAGTACTCGGGGTGTGCCCAGCCCTGCCCCCAACCTCAGGGGATCCTCTCAGGGTTCTGAGGGGCTGTCTGGGGATCTGAGGCTTGGTGCTGTGGGGGTGCCATGTGACTGAGGCAGCCTAGTCTGGGGGCCTGGTAGATGAGACTTGGGGTTGGGGGGACAGGGCCTCTCTGAACCCTCTGCCCAGGTTGGAGAGACAGAGAGCTGAGGACACAGGGTGTCTGAGCCGAGCGTCAGGACTGGGGTGGCAGAGCCCACAGGACACAGTGGTTCTGGGATCCGGGACTCCGGACACCACCTTCACGGCCACCTCAGGGTCACTGTGGGGCCCGAGGGTCCCTTTCTCTTCCCCGCTCCAGACCGCAGGGATGGAATGGGAGCCATGGATGGCCTTACACCCTTGGGCTTGACTGCTGTGGCCCTCTGTCATCCAGCAGAGTTGGCAGTGGGCGGCCATGCCCTTGGCGGGATGGGGATCGCTGGCTGGCATCTCTGAGCTGGCAGCTCCTGGTGGGTACCAGCTGGCACGCAGCTGACATGCAGTAGGTATCGAGGGGCGTGTGAGCAGGACAGCCATCAAGTGGTCGCCGCTGGGGGACCTGCAGGCTCGCAGGAACCTGTGCTCGCCCCCACCCGGCCCTCAGGCAGAGGTTACACACAGGCCCTGCCCGCCTCCATGTGCCAGCCCTGCAGGTGGTGGTCTGTGGAGAGAACAGGTGTCTGGGGTGGCTGTTCTGAATCCCGGCCATGCGAGGTGGGCATGGGGGCACCGGCCGGCCTCGGCAGCATCGTTAATGGTCTCCACCGTAAGTCGTGGCTTTCTTAGTAGCTGTGGGTCATCTGCTGGACAGCGGGGCTCCCACTCGGGGTCCGGCCTGTGGGCAATGGAGGGGACTGTGGTGGCAGGGGTCTTGGAGACTATGTCCTTAATTCATGGAGGTGCAGGCCTCGTTGGGGGAACAGGGGCTGCTTGTGGTCTGCCCTGTGGCAGATCAGAGAAGAGGTGAGGACCGACCAGGGCCAGCTCAGAGTCCAGGGCGGGCTCCTCTCGCTGGTCCTCGGGGGCCCTGTGCGCCTGTCTGTTCCTTGGGTCCACGTGCAGTGAGGGGCTAGGACACAAGGGGTGCTTGCTGGGGTCCGGGCTCCCAATCAGCTTGTTCACAGGGCAGGAATGCCCACCAAGGTCCCCACCATGTTCAGGCCCCAAGTCCAGCACCCAAGAGGTGAGGCCAGAGTGTCAACGCCCAAAAGCAGGCACCCAGCCCAGAGTTCCCAGCCCAGCCCCCACGGTCTGGTCACAGCACAGCTGTGAGGGTAGGACAGGTGTGGCACCCGACATCGCCCCACTGCAGGACCAGCAGTTGAACTGTCCAGCCAGGGCCGTGGGTGTTGGGGGAGCAGGCCCCACGGGGCAGGTGGCACCATGAGGGAGGCGGCAGGAGGGGTCCAGTGGGCAGGGCCGGGGTCCCCAGAGGCTCAGCGTCTGAGCCCTGCTGCCTCGGGACCCAGCACGGGGTCGCCACCTGGACATGGTGCCCTTCGAGCCTCTAATGGCACCGGCATCTCCTGACCTGGCCACGTTGTCGGGAGGATGGCATTTCCACACTGACGATGCGGCTCTGAGGGAGAACACATGCTGTAGAGCCTGGCCACGTGTCGGCCGCCGCTTATTTGCTGGAGTGACCTTGTGGCATGGGGGCCGGCAGGCTGGGGCACCGGCCAACAGGCTTCTTGGCTTGCAGCGGCATGTCCCTGTCCCTGAGTGCCAGGGCATGCTGAAGTCACCAGTCCTCTGAGGAAGGCGGTGGGGTTCCCAGACTTCACTGATGTTGTGGATCTCTGATGCTAAAGGAAGGGGACGGGCCGTGGGCAGGCGTCAGGGCTACTGGCACAGGGTCTGTTTGGTGGATTTATTTTGTCATTTCTCTCCTGTCCCCATGAGCTCAAGGTGACTGGTATCCAGTGGCTGGCCAGCCTCTCCTCTCTCCTGTTAACCGCAGCCCCTGGGGGCCCCCGCATCCTCCCTCAGCCCCCCTCATCCTCTCTGAGACCCCATGTCTTTCCTGAGTCCCCTGTCTTTCCTGCGCCCCCATCCCTCCTAGACCCCTGTGTCCTCCCTGGGCCCCCAAGTCCCTCCCAGACCCCCCCCCAGCCCCAGGATGCGGCCAGTTTTGCTGAGAGCCCGAGCATGGGGTGGGGCTTGCCTGCCTTCACTGGGCCCCATGTTGGTGCACACAGGCCCCGGGATCAGGGTCTCTGGTGGCATTTGCTGTGCTGCTACTGTCCCCTCCCCGCAGGTCTGGCTGTGAAAGAGCCGGGGGTCTGGCTGCTCCAGGTAGACCACGCTGTCACCTGGTCCTCGATGGGGCCAGGTGAGCAGCCACAGCCAAGCAGGGCCAGGACAGGGCACAGCCTCCCTCCCACACCTCACACCTGCCAGCTGGTCCTACCCACCACGGTGCACAGCTGCTGCTGTCCCAGGGCTGGCACGGCTGAGGCCACGCAAGCACGGGCT